GGGGTGGGCCAGGATCTGTGTTGGGCCAACTTGTAGTAAGTTACGTTACTTGTATTCGTACTTGCGTGTAACTACCTACGAGCATGATAAGGTACTAGGTACTGTTAGTTACTCCCGGCAAATTCAACCATTTCCACTTTGTACTGCGTACGTAGTCAAACTAATCTTAGCCAACAACCCCAACCTTGGACTATACACTGGAACCCGCTTCAAGCAAGAATGCCATTGTTGCCCGAACCATACACCGTACTCCAGTGGTACAGTAGAACTCAGGTGGTTGGAGATCACTGAGATATCCGGTAGTACGGATACTACAGAGTAATCTAATATCCAGTCAATGCGCGCAGTCAGCACTGTGTAACAAGAGCAGTCAACACCGTACGAGCCAAGCAGTTCATTGCCGTATGTATGTATGTATTGTATTGTATCCGTAAACCAGCATATTAGAATGTTTAGCCACAGCTGGCTTTCAAGCACGTGGTTCGTTTGCTAAGCAAATCACATAGTGAAGGCATCTATTGTAAGCCCAAGCAGTTCACCATTCTAATTTAGTACGGGTTAAGGCGCGTCAAGAGCGTGCAAGCCTACTGTATTCGAGTGGCTACATTCTGAACTTGAGGACCAAGCGAGCCTGCTGGGGAACTAGGTACTCGCGAATCAACTTACGCAGCCTACATATGGTAGGTATCCGTACTTAGCTGTGTGTTGCACAATACATACTGATATGGTGGTATCCTTCTACTACAGTAATCTAGCCGCGTTGCTTCCTTCCCTAAATAGTAATGTTCCCTTGTCAGGCCGGACCGCACTACTAAGGCTACCTACCTTAGGTTATACCACTACAAGTCGGAGCGAGACCAACTGCATGATATCGACTCGAATCATGATGAAATTGGCAATTCTCCCGATAGCGAACTCTGGGTTGAATTGCCCAAGGCCGTAATACGACGAATTCAACATTAAAAAGGGCGGGAGCCTCGAGGGTTGCATGCCGGTGGAATAAGTGCAGCTATGCCCGGCTCCGGCATTCGCTGCCGGTCATACCTACCCCTGAGCTACCTTACCTAAGGTTCTAAACACCCTGTGAAAACGGGCCGGGTTGTATTCGCTAATCGCTCACATACCTAACCGCTTACTGTAACGACTTGAACCCATCAGATTCTATCACGATTCAATCATTCACGTTGATATTAGTCGCTCCGGACATCGGCGTACTAACTACTAATCAATGGTTGAAGAGCCACTCAAGTATTTATCATCGGTACCGAAGGTACCTTAGTCAATACACTGTAGCTTTATCAGGTGATGAAACTCAGCCCCGTTCGAACCTCCTTGAACGAGACAGAGCGATGGTGTCGAACAATATCTTGGCGTGCAGCCTTTTCTCGCCACTGATACTCTGTTGGTTCTTTCCTAATTTCCCTGGTTTCGGCTGAGGACCGGTAGGTCGACCCTGGATGGTTAGGTAGAGACTGGTTCGTAGGTCATCAGCCTTAGCATAGCCAACACATGGTCCCTTCTGACATGTCCCGCGGCCTCGCGGCCTCGCCCCCTTGGCTGGTCGAACTACCAGCGCATGAACTGTTAGCCCTCGCCGCTGAGCCGCGTTGATGCAATCTGCCGGTCGAGTTGTGGGCTGTGGGGGAGGGAAGGCACAATTGGCCCGGACTCAACGAAGTGGCCGGGGCACTTACGGGACCGGAACTAGCGCAGCAAGTTTGGTCCCTCCTTCCTAAGTTCCTGGCGAGACCTCCACAAATAATCAGTTGCCCCTTTTGGGTCAATTGGGTACCTTAAGGTAGGCTACATTAAGTAGGTATAAAGTACAAAGGCCATTCCTCCGTTGTCCCTACCTTATGCGTATGTGAGTGTGCATCGAGACCAGGTCGAGGCCAGCATCATTCGTTGCAATCTTCTTTACATTCTTTTTGTATTTCCAGCCTTTCTTTCATCTTCTGGCCGTTGAGGTCATCCCGCTCACCTTGCTCCTCTTCCCTGTCTCTCCCCTGTCCTCCGCTTATGTAGGCATGATGGTTTTATCGTGGTTCACAGCAGCACTGGGGGCACTTGGCCTGTTGCTGTCTGCCGACCTAGTGTCCGCTAGAATGCCTCCCTCCAGACTTGGCTCAAGCCCTGGCTTCAACGGCATCGAAGTCTGCCCCGACCGCTGCAGCGATTCTGGGCCGAACATGGGAAACTGGTCTGTATATCCCAGCCTGCAGCAGATTGGGAAATGCAAGCAGACCATGTTTTACGAGTTCTCCCTCTACGACCCTGTCGACGACATGACGGCCAACCACCGCATCCGCGCTTGCTCATCCTTCGGTCCCGATTTCTCCAGGATGCCCGTATCGACGGCGAGCATTGCCTCTGCGGAGCCGGTCCAAGTACAATTCGAGATTGGATGGTGGAAAGAGGGCTTCGGTCTGGCGGCAGCCGGTCTAAGATCGCTGACCAAGCAGCTGCGCAAGTTCGTCGACGGCGGGCATGGAGCCACGGACAGACCCTTCATTATATTTGGCCAGTCTGGTCAGGCTGCCATCGGTCTCTATGTTGGCCAAGGTCTGCTGAACCAAGGCCTCAGCGTTTCCGCCCTGAGGCTCTTCCAGGACAACCTCGAGAACCTCAACGTCTCGACACCCAGCCTGGCCATGCAGCTCTGCGGATCGGACTACGACAGCACCCACACATTTGGCATCATAGCTACAAGCAACGCAACGTTCGCCCCTATCCAGGACGCTATCAAGACCTGGGCCAACGGAACCTGCTTGTCCTTCTCTGCATCGGTCAAGTTCGCCGGCCAGGCCATGTTCACCACACCACTTCTGCGTATGTCAAATCTCTAATGTTCAGTTCCTCTTCAACAACATATCGCTGCATTTGATGTGATATAACATACTCATAGAGTCAAAGAGGATGCTGACAATCCTGGACAGATATGAACGCCACCGCCAATACCAACTCGACCGTCCGTGCCAGGGCACTCCATGGCCGTGCCGAGTGTAGGACGGTGCAGGTTGTGTCTGGTGACAGCTGTGCGGCGCTGGCTACGAGGTGTGGCATTTCGGGCGCCGACTTTACCAAGTACAACCCCGGGTCTACCTTCTGTTCCACCCTGAGGCCCGGGCAGCACGTCTGCTGCTCCAGCGGGGACCTTCCGGACTTCAGACCGCAGCCTAACGAGGACGGCTCGTGCTACTCGTACCAGGTCAAGGCGAACGATAATTGTGCCGACCTGGCCGCTGCATACAGTCTCACCCTCGACGACATCGAGGAATTCAACAAGAAGACGTGGGGCTGGGGCGGTTGTAAGCTCCTGTACCTTGGCACTATCATGTGCCTGAGCAAAGGCACTCCGCCTTTCCCTGCCCCAATCCCCAACGCTCAGTGCGGTCCGCAGAAGCTCGGCTCTAAGCCGCCAACGGACGGCTCGGACATCTCCAAGCTCAACCCCTGCCCGCTCAATGCCTGCTGCAATATTTGGGGTCAGTGTGGTATAACCAAGGACTTCTGCATCGACACCAACACCGGCCCCCCGGGAACGGCTAAGCCCGGAACATACGGCTGTATCTCCAACTGCGGTCTCGACATTGTCATTGGAACCGGCAAGGGCACCACCAAGATTGGCTACTTTGAGGGTTATGGCCTGAACCGAGACTGTCTCTTCCAAGATGCCTCCCAGATCGACACGTCGCAGTACACACATATCCACTTCGGCTTCGGTACCCTGACATCCTCGTACGAGGTCGAAGTTGGCGATGTGTTATCAACGTACCAGTTTGGAGAGTTCAAGCGCATCAAGGGTGCCAAGAGGATCCTGTCCTTCGGCGGCTGGGACTTCTCGACAAGCCAAGCGACCTACCACATTTTCCGCGAGGGCGTCACGGCCGCCAACCGTCTCAAGCTGGCTACCAATATCGCCAACTTCGTGAAGAAGCACGATCTTGATGGTGTGGACATCGACTGGGAGTATCCGGGCGCACCCGATATTCCTAATATCCCAAAGGGAAGCGAGAGCGACGGCCCCAACTACCTGGCCTTCCTTGTTATCCTCAAGAACCTGCTGCCGGGGAAGTCCGTCTCGATCGCGGCGCCGGCCTCGTACTGGTACTTGAAGCAGTTCCCAATCAAAGAGATTGCCCGGGTCGTAGACTACATCGTGTACATGACATACGACCTTCACGGCCAGTGGGATGCCACCGGCAACGAGCACTCGCAGGAGGGATGTGCTGCAGGGAACTGCCTGCGCAGCCAAGTCAACCTGACAGAGACCGCGCTGGCGTTGGCCATGATCACCAAGGCGGGCGTCCCAGGGCACAAGATCATGGTTGGTGTGACCAGCTACGGGCGATCCTTCAAGATGGCGCAGGCGGGCTGCTGGGGCCCTGACTGCTTGTTCACAGGCGATCGCTTCAATTCGAACGCAAAACCGGGAAGGTGCACTGGCACGGCCGGGTACCTTGCCGACGCCGAGATTGCCGAAATCCTGAACGATCAGAAACGATCAGGCCGGGTAGTCAGGAGCTTTGTCGACACGAGCAGCAACAGCGACATTCTCGTCTACGACGACACCGAGTGGGTTAGCTATATGAGCAGCAGCACCAAGAAGCTCCGTGCGACCCTCTACGCCATCTGGGGCATGGGAGGTACCACGGACTGGGCCGTCGATCTGCAGACATTCCACGACCCGCCAGTGCCGGCGAAGGACTGGAACACATTCAAGCACGTAATCCGCGCAGGGGGTGACCCCAAAACGGATGACTCGCGGAACGGCAACTGGACCGATCTGGACTGCCAGGCCGACGCGATTGTGCACAAGTTCGACTACACGCCCTCTGAGCGGTGGAGGGCGCTGAATGCAGACGCTGCATGGAACGACGTTGTCAGGATCTGGAAAAACACGGACCGACGACGGAATCTTCACTTCATGGAGTCTGTCTCACAAACGCTCCGCATGGGAGCCGAGGCCAACTGCGGAACTTTCGTAAGGGAAGACGACAACTGCGACCAACCGTTGGAATGCCCGGCGGGCGCCAACGCCGTAGAGTCTGGCAGAAAGCCTTCGGGCCCTGCGGCACAGCTGATTTGGAACTCGCTGATCACGATACACCAGATGCATCACGACTACTACGACAAGCTCTTCCAGGTTGCTTCGGTCATTGGAACTGCGCTCGACGATATGGAGAACACGTTCGCGCCAGTTATCGAGCCAGACGACAACACGTGGGAAAAGATCCTCATAGACATCATCACCGCGGGAGTTCTCATGGGCGCCGGAATGTTCTTCAACCGTGTTCTTGGGTCCATGTCCCATTTCGCCGGAAAACCTGCAAAACTTTCCGACCTCAAGGATGCCACATTGGTCATGGTCGCGACAACCGCGAGTATCACCAAGGAGCTGTTGCCTAGCAAGCAAGGTCCCTGGAAGCCGGAGGATCAGGATGTCTTTTCTCACTACATTGGCCAGGTCATCGACGGCTGGGCCAACATCACCTCGCTCGCCGTCGGGAGACTGTTTAACGCCACAGATGAGTCCCTCGACATCCTCTATAACGCCATGTCGGACGGCAAGCTCACCGAGGGCAAGCGAGAGGGCCCGCTTCCGGATCAGAGCGAGGAGGATAACGTGATACGGATCAACCTCCAAAAGACGATTTTCGGCTACACCATCCCGCAGGCCTGGCGCGTGTCCAATCACTACGCCTTTGTGGTGGACTCGGGTTTCGGCTGCGTTGGGGACGAGCCACCCGAGGACAAGCCACTTGACGACTATCTCTGGGACGACACGATGGACGCCACATGGGGGTGCGTCGACGACAAGTTGTACTACCTGGTGCAACCGGAGGGCGATTCCCGGAGGTGCGTGTGCCAGGAGTATAACAGCGACGGTTCATGCGAGCGGCTGAACTGCAACAAAGAGAACAAGTTCTCTACACCGCGCGGCATCGATAGGTTGGAAGACTTTGGACGTGTCACCAGAAAGGACCTGATCACGGGCTCAGTGCGCACGTGGATAGCAAACGGCAAGACAAACGGCGGAGGGTTCCCCGACACGAGTGACCGGGGCGTCGCGGAGGCGCTGCTCGAGATGGACATCACCACGCCCGGGTTCGTGCGGCTCCCCGTCTGTAGCCCCGAGCGCGCGTTCCAGTCGTGGGACACATCGGCCAAAGGCTCGAGCCCCAACTACCCGTGCGACATTCCGCCGGGAAGAGACCACTGCGGAGCCTCAACGTTCGAAAACCGGGGCAGCGAAGCGTCGCCAACCGTGGCGGACTGCCTGCAGATCATCAAGAATATTGAAGGGGACGGAGGTACCCAGTGGACTATAGCATCTGGCGCCGAACACAGGGAAATTGCTAAGGCAGGGGAGTGCAGTTTTGGAGTTAGACCTATCGGGAATAAGCTGAGCGGCAATGTTGAATTCTACGTTGGTGGGCAGGATGTCATTGACATCATCAATGAAGCCGTCAAGCAGTTTGGAGGTGGCGGCAGGGTCGGCGCGAGAGGTTATATGACGTGCAACGGAAATATCAAGGGGCAAGATGTTGAGTGGGGGATCTATTAGACTTTTAATTGTAGATAGATGCGCCACTGCAAGGAATTGAATACAGGTTCTCAGATGACTGACTCCTGAAGTGCTGCTGAAGTGAAGGACTGTTTAGTACCTCTTGGCCACTTCACTTGGCTCACATTCGTTAATACCCAAGAGGGTTTTGAAGATGGAAGGTGGACTTGACTCATATAGTCAATGCAGTCTAGCAAGGTAAGTGGGCTGTAAGTACTGGAGCACGTTAGAGTCTGTAATAGACATGTATCAACATAGATATCATAGGAACGTTCAGCTACTTAGAAGGTTCCGATGATAAGATTGATGTTGTTCAGTTGTTCAGGACTTCAGGAGTTCAAAGGGGATGTGGTTTGGAGGCAGATGACCGTAACACCTGTTGAAGACCTTGAGGTTCAGGGGCAGAGACCACAAGCCACCACTATCATAGGGAAAATTGAGTGAGGTACAGTACCTCTGGGAGCAGGCCCAGCATGGATGTATTTGGCCGTCTGTATCTACATATGGACCTTCCCAGAACCTGAGGTAGCTACTCAAGGTTGAACACAACGATCATCGTACCCCATAGCCGTGTAGTTCGAACAAGATTGATGTTGTTGTTTGGGACCTCAAAGGGGATGTGGTTCAGGTTTGGAGGCAGTTAGTCCTAACACCCAGGGTGGCAGACTAGACGGCGGCGGCATGGGATGCCCGTCGGATTATAGCCCGGCGGCGACGAGCAAGCTTATTGTAGGTACCGTAGTGAGGATCTCAACTTGTATCAGCTTGTGACTTTGCATGGTGGCGAGGGTATTCTGTGACCTATGGGAAGTTGAGACTTTGAATCGAATGTCGACATGTCACGGTGTGACGGCGGGCCAGTATCCGTATCTTGAAGTTGCGTGTCGGCGTGGAGGTTACATGGCGGCGCGCTGGCGTCTATTATCTCGTGCGGTCGGTAGGAGACTCGGAGCGTGTACTGTCTTGTAAATCAAGTGTGTCTCGCGTGCAGAAGACATGATGGAACTAGGATCGAACTCGAAGGTCAGAATGTTGCCTGTTGCGTGGTAAGATCTGGACTCTGAAGGTACAGTACCTGCAATATCGCATGACGCGCTGGCATCTCACGGGCCGTCCGATGGGCTCAGCATCCAAAGCAGCTGGGAGGGAACTTCCATGGATCGTAAACGTACGCTCTGTCAAGATCTCCGGTATCTCCTCCGGCAGACGCGAAGCTCAAATCGTAAACCTGTAGGTGTCTGGCACGGCAGTTGTGAGGCTCGATTGCCAAACTGGCAGACAGACTGTTGGCATCTCGCGCGGTGAAGCAGAGTCATGAATACGCATGACGGAGTAACTCCAGGTCTCCGATCATGATCAGCTGAAGTTAGAAGTTCGCAAGTCAGCATCCGCGAAACGGGAATCTTCTCCATGGACGCTTGGAAGGAGCGAAGCGTTCTTCAGAACCCGAGTTCCATCTCCGGCCAGTATTCACTTGTCCACACATGGTAGGCGCGCTGGCATCTCACGGCCTGTTAGGTATACACATGAGGAAGCCACGTCCCGTAGTCTACCGGGCCAAGGACGCTGGCCTTCGCACCCGTCTTGCCAGCCTCAGCACGCCAAAGTTCCAGTGGGGAGCAAACTTAGAAGTCCATCCGCCTCGAACTGTCTGGTAACGCCTGCCACCTGGAATTGAAGGTGGGCTGCAACTGCAAGTGAACTCTTAGGTACATAGTTAAAGAAACCTTCGAGGCATGAGACATGAGACATCAGTTACACAGGAAGTTACAGTAGGTAATGGCTGGGGTTGCTATCCATCTACCTAAGGAAGGTCTGTCCTGTTAATAGCACCATTGGCCGCATAGTAGTCGGCTGTTGTCCCGTAGGACGGCCGTCTTCCGAGATCTGACGAAAGAGAAGCCCAGGGCTCTCCCGTTGAGCAACGCTCGCTAGCCTGGAGCTGGGCCGCAGTATCGTTCTTGTCAAGCCGTGGATTTACGAGCCTGTAGGTATTGGACAAGGTGACACCACTTGCCACTTGGTACGAATGTGGTCTGCTAGCCTTCCAACTGTGTGGCTCGCTGAAAATGGAGTACGGATCACTGAAGACTCGGTTCAATCTCGTCGTAGCATCATCTTAGCAGTCACGGTTAACAGCCAGCAGCCAGGTTAGTCTACGGACGGATTCCGGGCCCCATAAATGGATTCACGATTAAGCTGGTTGGCATCGTCGCCCGGGGGTCCATGATGAAGGTTGCCCGGGAGCTCGTAGGCTGGCGACGACAACGTAGGCGGCGGTGTACGTGGATTTTTGGAGCCCTCACCGCGGGCACTGCTTGCTCCTACCCGAGTCTCGCTTCACATACAGAATTTTGTCATTGTACGTATGTACTTGGTTCCAAATAGATACGTGTCGTAGTCTTACGAGAGAGATCTCACACATCCATCCAGGCCTTCGAACGTTAACGAAGGCACAGGTCGTCCCTTCACCGTCAAGTCTTGCACATATCCCATTGCACCGGAGCCCTTCCCTCTCCCTAGACACGCAACACAGCTCGGTCTCTTTACAAATACATGCCCGGAAAAGTTACGACGCGCCGAGATCCCATCCGAGCGGGCAACAGTCCGAATGAAGCCCACGAGGCTGGAGCTCCCGCTACAGAACCAAGCATACACGCGGTGAAAACTACATTATAAAGGTCACGGTACAGAACCTACATCCCAGGGCTTGCTCCTGGTCAATACCGAACTCATCAGTCTCTCGTTAACCAGAGCAAAAACTGACCCAGAATCGCTGGTGTGCGCTGCAGTGCCGCTTTGCGAGGCAATGTATGCATGTACCGCTGGAGCCAGTGGAAATGGACTGCTAATTCTGTTGATTATTCGTCGCTAGCGGCGGTCAAAAGAATTTCGACAGATGTTTAGTCAGATCCATGGAAAAATTGGGTGCTAGAAAATGAAGTGGAGGCATTGCTGATTTTCCTATGCTGATTTTCTGATTTTCGAGCGGTGCTGATGTTCGAGCGGTGCTGATGTTCGAGCGGTGCTGAT